CATAAATTCCTTCTAATGGGGAGATGATGTCACAATCTAAAATTTTAAACATATCACAAATTTATCTACATTGCAACCCTTGTTGCATTGTATCCTCTATAGCCTTTATGGCTTGTTTATAAGGTTACAACTTAGCATGGATTAAAGACTAAGTTAGTTTAGGGTTGGTCCTCAAATAAAGAGAATTCGGTACATACATTCTAGAAGCACCATGAATTTAGTTAAGGAAATCAAAAGCAAGTAGAATTCCGTTTCTAGAATCTTTTCTATTTTTTGTTTTCGGTAACCACATTCAAATCAAGCGGAATTCGGTCAAGGTATGACCGAATTCATATAGAAATGGCCCATTAAGGACCGAACACTCATAAGCCAACCCCTTTAAGACCGATTTTACTTCCTTCTAGGTGAAGTTATGGCCGAAAACTCCTAATATCTTCATATCTTATCTTGAATTCAGATTTCGAATGAACATATCACATCACCACCTCATTATACTTTGTGTATAAGATAATTAATAGGGAGTTATTCTTCATTTCTCACATTCAGTAAACTATTCCTCGCAATTCTCTCTCAAAACTCAACTTCATTCATTTCAATCTTGAAGATCAACACCTCCTAGAGTCATATTTTCTTCAAACCAAATTCCCTTAAAGCGTCATAGTAAGTATTATACACATTCTTTGGTCTTTATTATATGTTTTAAAGGTCATCTTATTCACACAATAGTGTGGGTTTAAAATCATTAGGATCATGACAACTCTCCCATATTTTAATCCGAAGGTCACTGTTTTCGTCTTGATATCTAGTCAAAACCGCACATAAAGTAAGTTCATACCCTCATATTTTTCAAGCTTTCTCAATGTTTTAGGGACAGAATACAATTCAAACACAAGATCTTGTGTTTAAAATAATAATTTACTTATTATATTTTCTTACTGTTAATATGTATTTAAACCTGAAATTTGTTAAAACATGGAAATAAACTTATAAACTATAATAGGTATAGTTTATGGATCATATGAACTATTTTACAAAGTCCACGTTAAAACATTGAAATAAACTTATAAACTATAATGGGTATAGTTTATGGAACAAAGGAACTATTTTACAAAGTCACATGTTATTTACTAAAAGGTTTTTCACTTTATGTAAACTAGTTAATACAGGATTATGAACCGCTTGATGTATGGTACCCGTTAAAATGCTAATTATAACCAGAGTCTCCTGGAGGGAGAGCGTGATTGTGTGTATAGATCTATATAGAGCTGACAATCCCACACTTGAGCTACTTGCTACAGCTAGGCTAACAGGCCTGAGGTGACAAACATCATTAACTTTATGACACCTGAAGAACGTCGTGCAAGCCATTATTCATATTAGTATGGTTATAATGAACATTCAAAATAAGTATTAACTAATTATTTATGTAAAGATATACTTTTACACATTCTAAAGGGGAAATAACTCTGTTAATACTTAGTACTTACATTAAGGTTATATAAAATTTATTTCTGGTAGACGATTGTGACAACCCGAAATTTCCATTCTGAACAAACCATATCAAGCCAATAGAAGTTAGAACAGTTATAGTGAAATTTCAGACTTTGGATATAAGTTTGAGCATTTCAGGTTTAAAACTTAAGGAGATATCAGGAGAGTGGATATAGTAGGGTTTTGTGCAACACTATTATTCCAATACTCAATGATATTAGAGTTCATTCAGGGAATAAAATATTTTCTGCCAAAATGTCACACCCTAAAACCATGAATGGCGGAAACATTCTGGGGCGCAGGACGTCATGTACAGTATCACAACAATGAATAATAGTAAACAAGCAACAACATCATCCATTGCATTAATATTATAATTTCATACATGTGTGTTCTGTCAAAGTTATAGACACCAAAAATATACATATCAAAATAAATGATGAGTCTTGAACGATCTCCATATTCTCAAAAGCCTGGCACCTGTACCTGTTTAGTGGTGACCTGAGAATACAAGTTATTTTGAAAGCGAGTATCAGCTTAAAGCTGGTGAGATCATAAGTATATTAATGTCTGAGTTTGTATGAAAACGTTTGAAAGTTGTTTCTGTAAAATGTTTTGTACAATGTTTTGTATAATGTTTGAACTCTCAAAGAAAACCCTATGTTTCCTACTAACTGTAGCCTTCTACCAAGGCATCTCGTGTTTGTGTATATGTCTCTTGTTAGAGTGTGTGTTTCCCAAATTCTGACTAGCATTAACCAAAAATATAGTTACTACATTACCGTGCATCGTGTGAATATTCACGAAGTGAATGTAAATGGGAAAATATTAACGTACCATAGTATTTGTAATATGTGACTACCGTGGTACTAACTACCTTAATACAAAAAGGTGTTTTCAAAGAACATGTGATCGACCTGTATCCTGCTACCGATTCTAGTAAAACGACGATGTAAGACGCCGTAAGAAATGATATTTGCCACCCGTGGACTTGCAAGTCCCACTGTAGCGAGCAGCAAGGTGTACGATAGTCAATCCAGTATAGATCTATACGCAAACTCATACACTCTCCAATTTAGGAGATTCGGGATACAAGAACGGTTGGGGCGCGAAGTTCCATGACCCGCTCAATGGTTCACATAACTGCAAAAACGTATATGTAACAAATGTGCTAACTGAAAGTGTAATCTTCCTATATCTAGCCTGTGTGTACTGAAATGTTCTGCGTGTTCTAGCTTTAATGTACGTTCTCTCTATCTAGCATGTATAGTTAATGTACTGTGTGTACTACTCAAAATGACTCATGAATGAACTGACTCATTGTATGTTTCTTTCTTCTAGTTATAGTATTAGTATTCTCCTGTGCTACCCCTATGGTAACCTACTAATGATGTAACTGGTACGTATGAACCTGGAAGTATACCATTGCTACCCAAGGGTACTGAATTAAATGGAAGGACATTTGTGACTACATATGTACACAAGATATATAATTAATATTTAAATGACCTTCGAACGGATACCCGATATCCCACCAGACAACATCTCAAGCACGAAAAGGAAATAGGGCGGGCATGCCTTCCTAAGCCTTTTAAACATTTATTATATATGTATACCTACATAGACATGAAATTGATAATAAGTATTAAAGAGTTTAAATGAAAGTATTTGATAAGTAAATGACTTTGTAAAACAGTTTGAAACCATACGGTTTGATAAATAGTTTGAACGGTAAGAAATCACTGGTTTTGTAGTTATTAATCACATGTGATTGATGTAATAACTATATGTATTTAACTTGTATCCCCCCCTCCCCCCCCCCCATAAAGCATTTAAAAACATTTAAATCATTGGTTAAGGGGTATGAACTCACCTGTAGTGAGTTGTATGGATGAACTGAAGATGTACGATCGCTAGGTGACAAGTGAAGTCTTGAACACACTTTATAACCCTAGTTAACATATATTACCACATATATGTATCCAATTAGTCTTAAACTACTAATTGATAATGTTATGACATCCTAGAACATAATAAACACTTTATATAAGTCTTATAAGCCCTAAGGATTGCATCTAAGCTATTGTGGGACAAGGCACTTGGGTTTAGGGTTCCAAAGGACCCTATACTTGAGTTTACTCTTCCATGGCCATCACACAAGGAGTTCACGGTTATAAAATCATGAGTTTATGGCCGTGAACTCTCAAGCTTTGTGACATTACGTGTTTTGAAGTTCTAAATGATCCCTAGAAGTATTCCAACTTGGTGGATTAATTCTTGGAAGGGTTTAGGGCATATAAACACTCCTTTGAGGAGTTTACGGCCCAAAGACCAAATCCCTTTGAGTTTACTATCGTAAACTCTTATGGAAGGGTGTTTTTGATGTTTTCAAGTCTCATACACATGTAGGATAGGTTCTAGACTTTTAACCTAAGCAAATGAAGGCCTTAGGCACATTGTGGTGCCTTAATTTGATGTTTGCGGCCCAGGAACAATCATAGGGCCATAAACTCTCAAAAGTGGGTTTTTTTGGATGTGTTTAAGTCCTTGATTTAAGTGGAAACAATTCTATGTAAATGTCCAAAGCCTTAGGAGTGTTAAAAATACCTTTTGGTCCTTGTTTTTGGAGTTCACGGTCCAAGAACTCCTTGGGCTGTGAACACCTAAACTTGGGTGTTTCTTTGGTGTTTTCTTGTCTTAAATACACTTACATAACATCCTAAGGTCGTTATTTAACATGCGGAAGGGACTAGGCATCATATAAGCCTCATATATGAGTTTACTCTCCAAGAACGTTCTTAGGCGGTAAACTCCCGGATCTCACAGATTTGTTATGTAATCGAGGTTATTAAACATGTTATAAGCCCTATAATGTAACTAGAGAAGGGTACTCATGATTTGGGAGGAAAACCCGAAGATCTGTGAGAGAGAAATGGCTTTTCTCTAGTTGGAATTGACAATAATAAATTAAGATGGCTCAAAATCCTATATATAGTCTTGAGATTTTTGGCAGAAAATATTTTATTCCCGTAATGAACTCTAATGTAATACAGTTTTGGAATAACAGTGTTGCACAAAACCCTAGTGCATCCACTCTCCTGATATCTCCTTAAGTGTAAATCCTGAAATACTCAAAGTTATACAGAAAAGTTTGAAAATTTACTGTGATTGTTATAACTTCTACTGACCTTATAAAGTTCGTACAGAATGGAAATTTCGGGTTGTCACACAAAAATCTCAGGACTATATATAGAAATCTGGCTGGAGGTTGTTAGCCGAATAACAGGATATGCAACATGGCTGCCATTGGAGAAGGTTGTTCGCCTGCAAGTGGTGTCGTCGATAGAATGGTGCCGAAAGACTAAGCACTTGTCCCTGGCTGTCGTGATGATGGTTGTGCTCAATTTGCTACTTGTTGTGATTGGGTGTTTGGCGCTCTTTGAGGAGCTGTGGTCGTAGTTGTGGCCAGTAGTTCTGCTGTGACGGGCGGCGGTCACCATAAGCTAGCAATGAACTCCACCATGGAGTCGACTAGTGGCGTCGTTGGTTCCTATGTGAGCGGCTATCCTTCCAGCGTCGACGGATTACTTCTGTCGAGGGATTGCAATGGTCTCACCGGGATATTTTTTTTGCCTTGTTGCTATATCGCTCCTTTATCCATCATTTCTGGCGCCTGGTGTTGCAAAGTACGGTTTGGCGTACTTGGTGTACGTTCGGATGGCACCAAGTGTTGTCATTTGTCTTCGGCTCGATTCCTGCTCCGTAAGGGATGGAAAAAAAGGGCTTGCCAATCACATCAAAGAAAACAACACTGCCAGTCGTCGCCCGGGAGGTTGTCCTGGAACGATGCTCGGATGATCAAGTCAAATCTAGGTTTTGGTGAGGGGTGTGAAATTATGAGATAAAGGGTTAATGTTGAGATTCAGTCCCTGCTGTTGGAGGAGAAGGGGCCTTTTTATACCTGGAGTCGGGGGAATAGAACCCAGACCATATCTTGTATGTTTTTAGGTCTGGCAGGTAAAACCGGCTTCCGATTGGTAGATTGTGCTCCGTGATCTTGAGCGTTACATGTGTCGCTTTGGAGGATGAGTAGTACTATTTTGTCTTAATGTTGGTTCTGATGCTTGGGCACCAAGGAATGCACACGGGGTTGTGAAGGGCGAAGGCGAGGACTTGACGGTAGGTGTACACTGACTTTTACCCAGGCCGTCCATTAAACTGACAGTTCCTTTACACTTGATGTATTCCTGATCGGATAAGTCAACAAGAGATACTTTTACTCAAACCATATTAATTTCAAACATCCTATTTGAATGAATATCACTGAAAAGTCTCTTAACAATGATTAACCATTCAAAGGTTTTATAATTTATTTAATAAGTTTAATATGCAATTCATTGATAGTCTACTATAAAAATGTCAGTATCTTTGAGTAGACACACAAATACAAATCACAAACAAAATTCACAAAAAAACAAGTTTAAATGTTTTGTTTTGGTTTGAGGGCTTTAGACCATTTATTGAGCCATGTTAACATGTAAAAGTTTTTAATTTATAAGTTGTTATATAATAATTCTTTTTTCTCATGGTTTAAGTTTTATTTTAAGACAATCATTGTATGTTATGGTTGAAACATTAATGTAAATTAGACTAGATTCATGTTATCGATCATATGTTATGGAAAATGATATAGATAATAATAAATTAAATATTTTAAATACATTTGTATGTTTGTATTGCTTCAAAGCAATAACTAATTAAAAATCATGGATATGCGATATTATCCATAGTATCCATGTAAATCTCTTTTAAAATGCAAATTGTCTATGTTATCACTTTATATTTTAGTATATGTTTACATTTTAATTAAAGTTAATGAACAATAATTATAAATAATAAAATCAAATTATAAAAATCATATATATGTCATATTATCCATGCAAGTCTCTTTTAAAATACAAATTGTCTATCTTATCAGTTTATTATTTAGTGTATGTTTCACATTTTAATAGTAATATTAAGTGTTTCTTAAAAATCTTATTTAACTTATTAACAAATAATAAGTAGTTTAAAACAAAAGAACAATAATTTTAAATGAACATCATTATTGAAATTAAAAAATAATCGTATAAACAAAAATTTGAATTAATAAATCTTAACAATTGTTAAAAATAATAATAAATATATAATTATGTTTAATTTTATTAATAAAGAAGATGGGTTGATGTCAATGAATAATATTGTTCAACATATTATGTGAAGGTTAATGTCAATAACATAACCATTTTGAACATATATTTTTCAATATTTTAACAAGATATTTTAACCTATGTTGCGCAACGTACAATAATTCGTCTAGTCAAACATACTTATAAAGCTAGCTTTTTTCCCTAAACCTCATGCATTTGAAACCCCCATAAAAATTTGCAAACACCTCATGCATTTGAAATCTCTTAATTTAATGAATACCACTCAAAAGTCTCATAATAATGATTAAGAAATTAAAGGTTTTATAAATTATATAATATATTTAATAAACAATTAATGGATACTCTACTATAAAAAGGTCAATCTTTTTTAATAGACACACATATACAAATCACATACAAAATTCACAAAAAAAACAAGTTTTAAGTTTTTATGTTGGTTTGAGGGCTTTGAACAATTTTTCGAGCTGTGTAATTATGTTGATGTTTGTAATTTGTAAGTTTGTTATATACTAATTCTTTTTTGTATTTTCTTGATTTAAGTATTCCTTTAAGAATAATATTGTATGTTTTGTTAGATTCATGTTATCGATCATGTGTTATGGAAGATGATATATATAGTATTTAATTAACTATTTTATACATGTTTGTATGTTCATGATACTTCAAAACAATAAATAATTAAATTTTATGGATATGTCATATTATCCATATTATCCATATAAGCTTTTTTTTAAATACAAATTATCTATCTTATTACTTTATATTTTAGTGTATCTTTAGCATTTTAATTATAATAATAAGTGTTTTTTAAAAGTTTCTTTCACTTATTAATAATAACAAGTGGTTTTAAAATTAATAAGCAATAATTATAAATAATAAAATCAAATTACATGGAATTTACTCTTACTTTTGGTTTTGTTCATATTTAGGTAACTATTTTTTTTGTACAAATCTAGGTAACGAACTTGATGAAAATGTTCACATATAACCATTATGACCTGCTGTAGCTGGATGTAACCTGCTACAGCAGGTCATAATGGTCATATGTGAATAGTTCCAAAAAGTTTGTTACCTAGATGTGTACAAAAAAAAGATAGTTACTTATATGTGAAAAACCCGAAAAATTAATTACCTTAACAAGTCCTATTCCCTAAATTAAACCTTAAACCTTAACATGCACTAAAACGGAACATCTATGATCACGTTGAAACATCAGATACTGATTTCTGTGATGATACAATTTGTAGTTTTTCAATTTTGTTTTCTTGTAGATTAAAATTTTACAAATTGGATTTTTTTAGGGAAATGTATGCAAGAGAGAGATACTTATGGAGATAGGTACAAAGGATAAGATTGTCGATCTTGATGTTTATTTCATGGATCCACAGTTGTGTGCAATTATGGCATGTTACATTTATCAACACCTAAGAGCGTCTGAGGTGCATTATTATTTTGATAGTTGGTAATTTCGTTTGTGATTTCGTTGATAATTTCTAATCAATTTTTATTGGTGATTTTAGGCAAATGGAATCTTCAGTTCTAAATTTCTAGAAGAGTAAAATGACTACTCCAACATTGAGATGTTTCTTGAGATGATTTGTTCATGTTGCTCAAGGAGTAAATGAGGTCCTAAGCTCAATGAATTTAAAATTGTAAACTACCTCCCATTGACACGAGCATAGTTGAATGGAAGTACATTGTTGTAACTTGCATTTATTCTTTGATTGGGCGAAATGCAAACAATTAACATTATTTATTAAAAATTTAAGATTATAAAAACACCTATAAATATATTTTAATAGAGTTGTCCAGTTAAATAATTAATTTGATTAGTCATGGTACGATTTCTGAAAATGTTGGAGTGATTTCAGTTTTGTTAATGTTTTGTATTTTTCACCAAAAAGATCTCAACTTTGGTTACTAATACATAAAACATTTTTTACAAAACAATGTATTTTTGTATAATGTGAAAAAGAAATCAATTTTTTTTTACTTCTTGTATGAAGTTCAATTTTTTATTTTTAAAATTAGTAAATTCTTCCACAATAACTAAAAACGTATTTTATTTTTATAATCAATATACAGTGCAAATTGCAATAAATGTTTATTAGATACTCCATGATTTTAGCTGTTAATTTTAATCTTACTTTTAAAATGATTTATATAATTGAAATTATGATATTAATCGATTTATTTTTGGTATGATTTTTCGTATTTTTGTTATGCTATCATTTGCATTATTTTTTGTATTAATTCTACTCTAGAATTAACTACTTTTCTTTTATATAATCCATATTACAGTGCATAAACAACATAATGAACGTGCGAATTGAATAAAAAATGTATGATCAGAACAAAAGAAAAGAATAATATCACGGTTTTTCTCATCTTCCTATTGCAATTCATTTTCTACCACCTAAGAACTTTGTTTCGGTTTCATTGCATTTCATTTCGTGACACGAATTCATGTTCTTTTTACTTATTCTATAAGTTATAACTTGAAGTGTGTATGTATAAGTTTTTATTTTTTTATTCCTTCTGTTTAAAGTTATAATTATGTATACTCCTCTTTATGTATATGTTTTTGACATTGTATATGTTGTGATATTGTCTGTATGTGTATTTGAGTGATTGGGTGTTTATGGTTTTATGAGTGTAGTCTTACATTGGATCCCTCATATTTTCTTTTACGAATTGCCCAAGAATCAAGGACATGATGATTCCGAAAACAACCTCGATTCAAATCTTCCACAACATGTTTATATTTCTTGAAATTTAAAACTTCAATAAAACCAAATTACCTAGTTTTGAGAGTTTTCGTTTAGTGTATACATCCTATATTGCCCCATGTCGATCATAGAGTTGCCATAGTTCGTTTACTATAGCGTATCAGGAAAGTTTGTCACATACACATCGACTGAAAGTGTATTTTTTTATTAACCATCATTTTATAGCTATGTAACTACAAATGTTGAAAACAATAAAAAGAACTTTTATTAATTAGTAACTCATATGTCCATATTTATACATATATTCTAGGCCATTATTTTAATATATTGAGCATAAATATTATATTTAAAGATAAAAGATAGTAGTAACGTTTTGAACTCGATAAATATAGAAAAATGCATGTCTAAGAGCAAAAAGAAAAGTTTTGGACAAGAAAAGAGCTGATACTGACCAAATTCGAAAAGTTGCTACAAATCAAGAAATGCGTTACGTCAACCTCAAGCACGCACCACATCTAAACTTCCCAAATCGCAACAAACATGGACATCTAGGATTAGCGATGCAACAAAGCCCCCTTTGTGACACATTTTAGCTGTTTATATAAATACTCGACCTTTTTACCATAATTTATTGTGCAACATGTACAAGAATAATCGTAGTGGTATATTTGTCCTCAACCCTTTTGGGTCCATTTCAAGGATGGAGAAAAACTTTGAAGTGATGATTTGAGGAATAGGAAGGTGGGAGAATTAGGACGTCAATTAGGTTTGTTTTATGATCATGTTACCAATTCGTTTTTGATGTTTTTCAGTTCTTTACTGGTTATGGAATAAAAACTCTTTTGCTTTCACTAGAGTAGATATAACTTTAATTTTTTTTTTTTTTTTTTTTTTTTTTTTTTTTTTTTTGTGTTATCCTTTAATCATATTATTAGTTTTATTTAGTTTATTATGATTGGTTAAAGATCGGTATGTGTTTTAGTTAATATCTTTATCGCTAATAGCTCAGTTGACAGAGTTTAGAGAACCAATCTACTTTGTTGGCTTGAATTATAGTTGTTAACAACCATTAGCAATTCTGACTATGACTAAAGATATACCAAATCCTAGGGTCACGTTAATAATCTAATTAACTTTAATGTATATGTTTGTGTTAGACAGCCAACCTATGCACCAAATTGATTACTATGAACATTGGGTTCATTTTCCGGATCAGGTGTTTCAAGATAGGAACTTAATAATAATTGCCTAGATAGTTAATTACATTACCATTTCGTTAAATGTCCTAACAGTTTGAATGTTAGTTAATCAGACCCACATAACTGACTAATATTAAAAATCAATGAATATTTACTAATACCCATTGCACTATATTGAAATCCACTATATTAGAAAGGCGTAACCGAATCTCTGTGAAAACATCTTTATCTCTCTTGTATCCAAAACTAATTTACAGTTTTGTTTGGTTTCTAGTGTACTTTAATTGAATTTAAACAAATCTTCCCTATACTTTACTGTGTATAGTGTATTAGAAATTGAGTTACATGAGAATAATCATTCTGGTTTCGCTTGTCTTCGACACCTGGTCTTATCTTTAATATATTACTACGCTATTTGGTACACTTCCTAGTTTGTTACAGTTTAGCTACCATAAGATAAATTTTATAGATTGAAAGCTATGATACATATTTTATATATAGTTAACCACACATCAATAGAGTTTATTATTGGTACTTGTGATGGACATTCACTATATTAAATTGGCATTCTAGCTAGGACACTTTGTGGTCTTTGTAGGTTTCAAGGAACGACGTGTAGTTGTGAGGTTTTTTTATTATATTTTGAAGTTTTTGATATTAGGCGAGGACTATCTAAAGTGACAGTTCATTTTTGTGGCAACGGCTGTCGTAACATAAGTTAGCGACGGTAGTTGTCCTTCAATTTGATATCATTACTGCATATTTCAAGGTCGTGGGTTTTGTTTAAGCTCTTTATTCTTTTGCGAGATGAATTTTTGATGCGTGATTGATTTGGCAATAAGAGAATAAAGATATATTCGAATTCAACAAATTATATTATAATCAACTCATAAACATTTGAAACTTTTTGTGATAACAAAATAGACATTAACTTTCGAAAAAAGAAATAACCCATGTCCATGTTGTGCGAGTAAAAATAACTTTCAGTTGTTGACGCCCATTGTTTCTGACGAGAGCAGATTTCATTAACTATTTCTTTGTTTTTTTCTTATTTTTTCAAACTGCATTTATCTTTTATAGATTATACTCTAGGTGGAATCCATGACTTTTTGGTTATAAATACACCTCTCTTCATGTTTTACATCCACAAATCCATTGAAGAGCCCAAGTATTTGAGAAACGATGAATACACAATGTGGAAATGATCAAGACAATGATGCACTAATAGGCAAAGCACAAATTGCCCGATACCTATTCGGAACTTTTGACGCCATGGCTATACGATGTTGCATAGAGCTCGGTATTCCTGACATAATAAACAACCACAATCGCCCAACCACATTGTCAGAAATTGCTACTGGTATCAACTCTTCCTCAGTAAATCTTGATGGGCTTGGACGACTCATGAAGTTCTTAGTCCATAGAAAGATGTTTGATGAAATACCTCAAAAAGATGATGGAGAAGGAGAAACAGTTTACTCGCTGAACCACTACTCTAATTGGCTTGTAAGCCACACAAATGTGACAATGGCACCCTTGGTTATGTTTTTTACTGATCCGTTTATGCTTTCACCTCTTCGCAACCTAAGTCGCTCAATTAAAGAAGGTGATTCAGCATTTAAAATAACTCACGGAGACGACATATTTGATTTTTCATTGATCAATTCGGAGTTCAACAAAATGTTCAATGAGGCTATGGCATGTACTACTAAGTTCACCCTGGATGTCATCATATCGAATTACAAAAATGGTTTTCTTGGGATGAAAGGAAGTGTCGTGGATGTTGGAGGTGGTACTGGTGTTGCAATATCTGAGATTGTGAAGGCGTATCCACATCTTAAGGGGATCAACTTTGATTTGCCACAAGTGATTTCCAATGCACCAAAGTATGATGGGGTTACTCATGTTGCTGGCGACATGTTTAAAGTCATTCCTCCTGCAGAAACCATCTTCATGAAGGTAAGTTTTGTCGTCCATCTTTAGAATTAGAGTGATGTATGAAAAATGGATTCATGTTCGCATGTGTATTTATAATAAAAACTCAAAGTTCCTAAGTTATACGGAAAGTGGAGTTATTATTTATTTATTTATTTTGCTTTTCCAGTGGATATTGCACAACTGGAGCAATGATGACTGTGTTAAGATACTAAAAAATTGCCGAAAAGCGATACCTACGGATATTGGAAAAGTCATTATCGTGGAGATCGTTCAACAGTACTCTGGACAACATGATCTGCTCAACGATGTACGCGTTCCATTTGATCTAACCATGTTTGCATACTTTTCTAGGGGAAGAGAACGAACAGAAGGCGAATGGAAGAAATTACTTGAGGAAGGTGGCTTTCAACGTTACAAGATTATTTATATTCCCGAGATTGTATCAATTATTGAAGCCTTTCCAATATGAAGTCACAATTAAGTTCTCTATATGAATGTTTAACGCAATAAGACATGTTTCATGTATTTTTCTTGGTTTTAATCCAATCTATAATGATATTTACTATTTAAGGTTAAGGTTCTAGTCAAAGCGATTTAAGGTTCTGGCCAAATCGATTTGAAATGTACCAAACTTGTTCTGAATGTTAAATGTATGCATGATCATTAACGGTTCATGGATGAACTTTTGTTGTAGTTAAAGTTTGACAGATGGTATTACCGATTATCTGTTTTGATACATAAAGCCGCCATAATTACTTTTAAATAGTTAGAATTACGCTATGATTAACCGTTGTCAAACCGTTGCAACAAATTTGGTTACCCTTTGGAAGAACTTGGAAAGTTTGATGTCTTTAATTATTGATAGATTTCGATCAAAGATGGGTACTTGGAAAACTCGTTGTCTACCCTTTGGAGATCAATTATCTTAAGTTAAATCGGTTCTTAGGAGCCTAGATCTTTTTTGTATTACTTTCTATAATCGAAATCATCAATTTGGTCGTGTTCGGCAAAACTAGCTAGTAGCGGGTAACTTGTAGCTTGTAGCGTTTTGTTAAACGCTACATGAAGTAGCTTTTGGATTTGAAGCGTTTTGATTAAACTAAACGCTAGAAGCTTGTAGTTCCAAACGAGGTTTTTTGTTTTAAATGGAGCGTTTTGTCAATCACTAGAAGTTAGAAGCTAGAAGCTCTCAAACGCTCCAAAACGTTCCGTGCCGAACACGCCCAAAATATAATTGATATTTTCGAGAGTATATGGGGGCATTTCCTAGGTTGTGACAAACTGTGAAACAATTTGTTGCATTATGTGGTACAAAATCTTAAGGGGGAAAACATCGTGCTCTTTCTGTTGGAAGCGTTTGAATAGCCAATTAAGTACATTGTTAGCCAAATGGTAGTGAAGAGTATGAGAATACAAATAGAAAAAAATTACATTTGGTTAAATAAACGATGTTGATAATGTTTCATATCATCTCTAATAAATGAAGGTTTTTTTGTCACTTGTCATACTATCATTCAATTTAATGAAAGTTATTTTTTGGTTACTTTGAATTAATTTTTTTTCCAATATTCTTCTTGAGATTTATATGAAGACAATATGGCTCATTTTCTCAACCATCCAATATTGTGGCGTGTGCTTTCCCACATTGTTCTTTCTATTTTGGAGATTTCCACCACATTTGTTGAAGATTGAAGTTTCGATTCCATATTTTGCCGGCACATTACATATCTCACGTGATCAAGATCCAAGTTCCTATTTAGAAGAGTTTGTATTCAAGATGTATCATTTTTCCACATATTTGGAGTTCGCTCTCGCCACTGCTATCCCATGGATGTCTATTCCCTTTTCTCCCTTTTATTGTTTTTAATTTATATTATGCATACAATGAGGGCATTGTATGTAATAAGTGTGGGGTAGGGAGTCGGAAAAGTAAAGAAAAAGTAAATTGCTAGAATTCGGTAAAATTTAAAATTTTTAATAGGTTTGAAGTAATAATCTAATAATTAATCTAGTGATAATAACTTGAACTTAAGTTGCTAGTATTGTATGTGGTGATTCGATGAGAACTCAAATTTTTAGTTGAGCCAATATACGTTATAGTGTATTTGTGGGGCCCTCTTTATTCTAATGAAATTATGGGATAAAAATACAGTCTCGCTTAGTTTGAGGATCGCTATGTTTAACATCATGAACCAAAAATCTATCTAGGAAAGCTTATGTAGTCATTGCACTTAGGCTAATACATTAACCAATAAATGTTGAACTTAAGCGTTCATGCTTAACTATGTAAGTTTTTGAGTGAAAAAAAGTGAGTTACATGTAAAAAGAAAAAGAGAAATTACCAAAAACTTGAAGAATTTTGGAGCTATCAAGTATGAAGATCAAAAGATCAAAATTTCAAAGAATCAAAAATTAAAGATACCAAAAATAAAAAAGCTGGTGAATGCAAATAAATCAAAGATCAAATATTTAAGAAGTGAAGAATTCCAAGAGCTCCATTTTGGTATCAAAAGTTGAAATTTCTA